AGAGCAGGATAAGTTTAAGAAGAACCCGTATGACTACAGCAAGAAGCTACTTAATGGTAAGCAGAACAACGCACCGCCAAGCTTCTCTAAGGAAGAAGCAGACAGGTTCTTCAAGAAGGAGTATAAGGACACGGACAGAGGTGCAATCTACACTAAGTTGGAAGGCCTTCCTGAGGCCAAGCCCCCAGTAGTTAAGTTCGAGCTGACAAAGCTGGACAGGGAAGATTTCGATGCAAAGCTGAAGAGCAGGCCTAATAAGTCATCCCCTGGTCCAAACGGTGTACCATATGTGGTGTATAAGAGATGCCCGAGAACCGCACACATGATCTTCCAAACCCTATCTACCCTGTGGGACAAGAAGATAGTGCCACTACAATGGCGATTTGGTGAAGCAGTCCTTATCCCAAAGACTGAGGATCTGTCAGACCCAAGCAAGTTCAGGAATATTACAAAGACGAACACCAGCGGCAAGTTGAACATGGGAATTCTAGCAGACAAAATGCTGGATTATATGGTGTCTAATAAGTACATAGACAAGTCAGTTCAGAAGGGCTTTCTGAAGAAGACGCCTGGTTGTCTTGAACACACCCAAGTGCTTATGGAAGAACTAAAAGACGCCAAACTGGGTGGATTTAATGAATGCATATGGCAGAGTCCCACACAACTTGATCCTCTATGCCCTCCGGCATTACAAATTCCCTGAATGGCTCATAGATTACATGTTTAAGTACTATGATGAACTGATTGTAAGGGTGGTAACCAAAGACTGGAAGTCAAATTGGTTCTACTACATGTTAGGCCTCTTTCAAGGAGACCCTCTTTCAGTAGTGTTGTTCCTGATTGTATTCAACTTACTGTTAGATCTTCTACAAGATCAAAAAGAACTGGGTTATAAGCCCTCCTTTAGCTCGCAACCTACATCAAATCGGGCTTTTGCAGATGACCTAACACTTATGTCCTCCAGACTAGAGAAGGTAAAGAAGCAGATAGAGTTGATGGAGCAGTTTTTGGATTGGAGTAGGAAAATGAAGGCCAAGCCTAGCAAGTGTGTCTCCCTGGGAATGAAGGTGATAGATGGTACGTACCAGGCTTATGACCCAGAGATATTGATTGACGGCCAGCTAATCAGCTATGTAGGAAACAACCCGATTAAGTTCATGGGCCACTGGATCTATGTCGATCTAGGGTTAAATGACACTAAACAACGGATTGAAGACAAACTAAAAACTCTGTTTCAGACAGTGGATGAGTGTGGTCTCAACGGTGTCATGAAGTGTTGGATCTACAATAACATGCTGACTAGCAAGATGTCCTGGGATCTGATGATTTACAACCTTCCTGTAAGTTTTGTGTACGAACTGGATGCTATCTGCACCAGATTCTTGAAGAAGTGGTTGGGTGTTACTAGATCAATTACTGTGACAGTCCTGTACAGGAGCAAGGATTACTTCGGGCTAAACTTGAAGAAGCTGAGTGACTTATACAAGTCTCTTCAGGTATCAAAGGGACACGCCCTGAAGAACAGTGATGACACCAAAGTTGTAGAAGCCTATAATAACAAGAGAGAGAAACAGGAGAACAGCCCGAGATGGTCTTATACAACGGAGCTGACGGCAAGAGAGCGAGATCTTTACTTCCAGGAGTTGGTTGGAGTAGTGACTAAAGACCGAGTAGGACTCGGATGCAAACCAAAGTTGACTGAGAGGCAGAAGCTAAGACAACTGGTAGAATCGGTGTCAGAGAACGACATGCTAGTCACCCTGGTAAACAAGGGAGTACAGGGCAAGTTCTTGACATGGGAGAACACGATGCAGTTAGACTTAGGATGGAACAGCCTTATCTACAACTACAAGATGAGCCCGGCTCTCCTTAAATTCCACCTAAACTCGACACACGACGTGGCTAATACCCCTGCAAACATGAAATTGTGGAACTACTCTAGTACAGGAAATTGTGCACTTTGTGGATGGAAGACGTGCAACATCAAGCACATCCTAGCCGTCTGCAGTGTAGCAAGAAACTCCAAAAGGTACAACTGGAGACATGACAACGTCCTACGTGTTATAGCCGGAGCCTTGCTTGACCAACTCAAGATGTACAATTCCTCAGGTTCCACGACCTCCGACAAAGAATGGATACGGTTCAAGTCGAAGGATGGGAAGTATGAACACCCAAAGCCAAAGTTGAGGAAGGAGAGGCCCTTTGAGAGAGCGAAAGACTGGAAGCTGATATGGAACGAGGATACACTACCTGCCCAGTTCCCACAGCACATCTACAACACAGCGGAGAGACCCGACATTGTAGTATGGTCGGATAGTTTGAGAGAAGTAGTTCTGATTGAACTGACTTGTGGTGACGAGAGTAACTTCAGTGACCAAGTAGCACGTAAAGAAGCACGCTACAACAGAGAGCTGATTCCTGGCATCGACGGGTGCGGTTGGAAAGCTCTGCTCTTTACGGTAGAGATTGGGTGTAGGGGCTTCTGGCACCATACTGTACCAGCTCTATTTAACTACTTTGGATTGGCGAAGAGAACGAAGAATAAAGCCCTGAATGAGGCTGCTTTGGTCGCTCTTCGATGTTCCTATACAATCTGGTTAGCCCGCGACAACAAGAAATGGTCTACCTGCTACGACATCGCAAGGAGGCCAGAAGTCATAAACTGTGAAAGCTGAGTGTTGGGCCCATAAAACATGTTGAAAGCTGCAACCAGGATCACAAGTACTGGTGGAATACAGAATGACTTGCTAATCAGATTGATAGATGGAGTTGCTATCGAAAGATATAGAACTCAGGTAAACATCTAACCTGTAATAGTTTATTGTTGATTTTTCTCTTATAATGTTCGCTTGTAAAACGAAGAATAGAAGAAATTACTTTTTTTCGAAACAACTTTAGTGAACATAACTTCGTTTTGACAAAGAGATTTTGAATATTTTGAATATGATGATCGTGCTCAAAAGACTAAAAATTTATATTAGAAAAAAAACATTAGAACGTAAGAGCATAATAAAAGCTACCGAAGTCGGCACCCAAAAATGGTGAACCATGCTATACTGTTACTACTCGAATTATAGGCATGCTTAGTTGTCTGCCAGCCTTTATTTGCAGATTGTTAATATAGCACAGCTCACACATAAGATTTTATCAATCTTATGTCTTAAACGATAGCATATTTGAATTATTTTTCGTCGAGATATGCATTAGAATCTAATTTTTAAACTTCTTCTCATCAGTACCAATAGGAGGAGGTTTAAAATAGAGATTACCATGAGGCCTTAGGCCATAGTTATCTTCAGAATATTAGGATATTGCTTAAAAATTTTATGAAATTTATACAACAAAGCAAAAGGTTTGCTATTGCTAAAGTCTTGTCAAATTATTATATAGATTATAGGGATACTGATAGGATATGTCAGACGATAGCTACATAATATAATTATAATTTTATGTGTGCGATCGATACAAAAACGATAATTTTTAGAAAACATTTGTTGTTCGACATTAAAATACACATTCTTACCTTTGATCGTATCAGCACTTGCAGTCCCAAATATCAAGAGGAACGGAAACAATTTCAAAATTTCTAACTTTAGAAGGTTGGGGATTTATTGAGACAGGAATTAGAATAATTATTATTTGATAAAAGTTCAAAACAAGAGATAGTTAAAAACGTGGGTGCTAAATCACTCTATACTCGAACTTCGAGATTTTTGTTGAAGGACCCCCAACAGTTGAAACCAACTGAAATCGATATATTTTGTAAAGAGTTTGTAAAGCTAATTCCGAATCTCCCCACATAAGTCATGATATACATAGGGTTAAAATTAAAATGCCCTCATGGCGAGTTGTCGACGAAAAACTGTTTCGATCACGTGACATGACCATATAAGGAAGTTGGTCTAATTTCTTGTTAGAGTTAAGGTTTTAGCATATGCTTCAGTTAGGGTAAGGGTGGGGGTTTTGAATAGTCCCTGAAGACCATCTAGAGAACTTGTTTACTGTTTAAGTGAGTCACGTGATATTAGAGTGTAGAGTGATTGATCATCATCCAGTTAAAAACAATGTCCAAGTCAAACTTCACTGTATTTTCTACCAATTTCTTTTTATCATAAGCTAAATGGCGGTTAAAGCAAACAAAAATAGAAACATTGTTTATGGGCTGCCTTAAAACGAGAGCACGGTCTCAGCTGACCTATCCTCAAGTGTGCTGCGCATGTCAGGTCATTAGCTCTCACCAGGATTCTCGCTGGATTATTTTCGAAATATTAGTAGACGATCTTAACCCAAGGACGTGGGGCAGCTCATTGCTGAATTATTCAATAGCTCGGGGACTCTGGGTCTCTCCTGGGTCGCTTAACTACTACTATAGGTGTAAAAAATACTGTTATAAATGTCAAAGCTTAACCACATTGTATAAAACACTTTACCGTGAAGTATTAGAGACATATGATTATGGGCTCTCTAGATATAGAGGGGGCTGGATGCTTGTAACTGTTTTAGGCTCCAGATTCCTGCATACATTTTTAATAGCTGGTGCGCTTCACGCTTCATACATCTTGTTTACCACGATTTTGCATGATCGTACTGAAAGTTCCGAACTGTGCGAAAGTGTGCGGAAAAAGATGTATAATGCGAGAAAGTGCGAGAAAGTGTGCCAACAGGTGAATAGTGCGATTTTATATTGTCCCTGCTTTTTTTTTAAAGAGAGGCTGGGGCCTGGGCCATGATAGCCCACGAGAGGATAGCATTGAGATGCTTTGCCTGCCTCTGGGGTGTGGCAACCATGGGGAAGGTTGCTGGAGAAATCAGAGTGAATGGTGGAGGGTGGTGTTGAAAGTGACATGAGTCAAAATGATACGCATAAGTGTCAGCTAAGTTTGAAAAAAAAATTGTCCATGCTGTAATTTGGTACAAATGTTTTGAGCTCATTTCCACAATAGCAACTCACACATATTGGTTCCTTATTCCCAGCATTTGTAAAGTTAATATATCTCCAGGTTTCTGTTGAGGAGGGCTCTCCAGAACAACACTCTTGGTCACTATCTGTACTGGCACCTCAAATCTCAGGTATTGACTATTGAACCATCGTTATTATTTTGATGAGCAAATTTATTGTGTTAACGTTATTGATTTTCATAGTCTCTTGTAGATTCTCTGATAAATATTACTTAATAGTTGATATCTTTCTCTTAAAGTTATGAGTGCTTTTCATTAACAAATGAGCCTTACATGAAAATAAGGCTATGGTGATGGCTGACAAGACTAGTAGACTAAGTTAAAACATTTCATTACATAAATTAACTTAATAAATTTAATAGGTTTTAGTTAGTTTATCCCAGGTGGATGGTCGACTCTACGGCGCACAGTTTGCTTTAGTAATAGAGTTTTACTTGCGTTGCTGTGGAGATCATATAGAGGAACTGAACAAGATATCAAACTCTATGTCTAAAATAGGACTGTTGTACGAGAAGGTCAGCAGGAAGGTCACTCTTGATGAGGTGAGATTTGGAGATTTAGTTCTTTTCTAAGAGATTTAGTTCTATTGTGATGGCCCACTATTTTATAATCACTTTGGCTAAATTTGCTTGTGTGCTGTACGTATGTGTTTTATGTAACAAAGTTAATTTGCTTCACTACACTACTCTAGATCTCGCTCCATTTTTAGTCTTTAGCCAGACAATCATCTATCTTCGCATGGTCAGACAGCGTTTAATTCGTAACGTTCACTTCATTAAAATGTTATTTAAGCTGTTCCTCACACCTTAGGGATCCTCCATATCTAGTTAATCTCACTAGGTAAGGGCAACAGGAAAAGAAATAATTTTCACAGAATTCTGTGCATAATGCATATACTCTACGCATAGCCCATATGGTACGGGAGAGAAGAACCTACTTTCCCTCCTGTGGCGTTGTGGAAGTGGATGTGCACGTCGTGTAGTATTGTAGAAGTGCGGGGACCGACAACTTCACCTATTTAGAACTAGTTCCCACACAGTTGATAGGGCACCCAATCAGCCTAAATCCCAAAACGCCAACTTCACCCAGGTCATATTATAATTGCACCCAAATACGACAACTTCGCCCAAATTTGTGCAGGTCAGATTTTCAGGTGCACCTCGTGTAACGTTGGATAAGTACACGTATAAAATCAGGTCAGATGTAGATTTGACTGACATTTCTAGTGAACAATATTATCAGAACCGTGCACTGTATGATTTCAAAGGAGCACAGTTGGGGGGAGGCCACAGTTCGTGTGTATTTTAACGGAAAATTTATTTAATACGAGCCTTTTCTTTTGATCTTTATAATCATAAAACGTATATATACTACATACTACATATAAAAAATAACTGTATATAGTAATTTTTTAAACAACTGTTACTCTAGTAGCAGGGAGGGGTTGAGTGTGCACTTCAATGTACAGAGTTTTTTATACTGAATCGGGTTAAATAGGTCATTGGTAACTCAAATCACCGAGGGGCACATGTTGTGTCGCTAGTCCCAACCCTGTGGGGGCCACGCCCATATTTCACATTAGGCGCATATATGGGAAATCTGTATCTCTATATTTTAGTCTTTTGAGTCTTGACACCGTTTAGGGTTATACGGAATCTTTTAAATTGCGTATATGCAGAGGAGTTAAAATGAAAACAAATGTTTGTTTAGCTCATTATTCGTTTTGCAAAGCTTCAGTTGACGATCGATACATACTCAATCTATAATTGTAACTTACAACAACATAGTAGTAAGAGATGGTACCTGGGCAGAAATGGGCGTTACAGGACTGAGTCTGAGAGGATGATCCGGAACAGTCAGCGCCACCGTCTTTTGGGGAAGGATTAGTACAAGCCCGGGTCCTTGTCTGTGTTCCTCCCCCACACTCTTTAGAGCAGGAATACCAAGAAGAGTAGGAACTCCAACCTCCATTACTCGGAGCTGAGAGAGACCGATTAAATGTTTACGCTGCATTGTCTAAAATATCAATCAACAAATCTTAAAATAAAGTATTGGGCTCATATCAGGGATCCCAATTTGAAAATTAAAGCTGACTAAGAGCTAACAATGTTAACTCACAACAAGTTGGGACGGAGCAGTAGTCCCATCTTGTTCCGGAGTCCATCGTGTAGCACCAAACTTTATCGTACTTCTCCTCTGGGTTCCGGCAATAGCTGTGATTGCCAGTCCCCGCCCTGCAGTAGGGGATTGATGAGAAGAATACAGCGTTTATTTTTTTTCTGGGGGGGGGGGGGGGGGGGGGGTGGTTTCTGAAAATCCTGACGTCCGGAAATTTTTGCAGAATTAACGAAAAAGTCCCATTTATTTCAACTCTCTGAATTTTATTAACAATGAATTTGAGTTGGTTTTATTTGTACTCTTAAAAGTAGCTGGAAATCCGGACGTCCGGGGGAGGGGGTGATATTGCAAATTCGGACATACCCGGACAGTGGGAGGGGGTGGTCTGACAATCTGCGATTTTGGCGGCCGTCCTAAGTAGATGGCCCCAAAGCAATCTATTCTCGCTGATTGTGCTTGATTTATGTAAAAGAAATCTTTTCTGTTTTTGATCTGTATTATCTCCGTAATTTAGCTTATGACAAGATATATTGGCAGAAATTACAATGAAGTTTTGATATTTAGTTATTTGTTTTAGGGAAAGATTAAACTTGGGCGTTGTTTTTAACTATCCCTTGTTTAGAAATTTTACTTAATAATGATAAAAATCAAAGTAAACCACATCAAGAATTTGTGTGATTAAACTACCAAACTTTGTTAAAAACAAATGATTATAAAATATTATTATTAAAATATTATTATTATTATAGGCTATAACCCTTTTAGTCCAATGGAATAAACCTAGCATGCCTTGGTTGCAGCATCGCTTCACTTATAGGTGCATATAGGGCCCGATGTAATTGCTATGACTAGTTTAATGGTCAACTGGTGTTTCGGTGTCCCTAATTTTGTTTACAGTCGGTCACTTGTCAAGGCATGAAAGGTCATTCGGCAAATTTTCTTTGAAATAAAATGATGTATTTGTAAACATTTTGAAAGTTTATTGATTTTTTTAAAAATACTCACAATTGCTTTATTCCCACTTCGTGGGGACTATCTGACAACCAATTCTGACATGTGACACCGTTAACCGTTGTAGATTTAGTCCCCCGATATCCTGATCCCTTGTTACTTCTATCATAGGCATCCCAACATTCCAGGACTGAAATTTTAAGTTGGTCTGTGATTTGCAGTTCTGTCACAGCGTTTTAGGCTTGATATGGTGTAATTGCAGGAATGATATATTTCAGTGGTTTTTCGGCAACCGAACATTTTTCCCAGAAATTCCAAAAATTGGAAGGCGAAAATGGCGCTGCGCTGATTCACCCTCAGAACTTGAAACAGAACGGTGTTTACTCACCACTTAAAGACGAAGTTATTGATCGTAAGATTAACAAGAGAAACATTGACATTGTCTTGCTTTCTGTAGGTATAGTAGTGGTAAATATTTATAATTAAAATTTTTGGTTGTTAATATGCACACTCTGTTACCTTTAAAAAGTAGATCAAGAATAAAATGTGTTCCAGTTATATGGGACATTTTCCCTCCACCTTATGTAATTGTAGCTAACATGTCGTCTGTATATTATATCTAAATAGCGGTATTTGTTGTAACTAGTATGATACTAGCTAAAATATCATTTTAAAACAGAAAGTAACGGTAGTGGCTTCGTGATCATTTCGCTTATATTTGGCTACCCTTGAAAGTATATAAATATATGAAAAATAATCAAGGGATCAAATAGAGAAACCAAAATATTTGTCTGAATCTAAAAAACGATGACACGAGACGGGGAATAAACTTGAAGCAGCTGGACATACTAAAATCGAAGATATGGGGTCGAGGGTACCTCTGGAGCCAAAGAACAATTGAATTGTCACTAGAGAACAAAGCAACAGGATAAGGGAGAGAGGTAAGGTACTGGAGAGAGCCCAACTTGTGGTAGATATAACGAGATAGTTAGATGTTCATGTACAAATTTGGGGATTGAAGTAGTTTCAAGTAACCCGGGAGATGGTTAGATGTATACATTTGGGGATAAGATAAGATAGCTGGAAAAGGAGCTTCTGTAACTGAATTGTGTTGCTCCATAGGCATAAAAATTATCTGAATGTTTTCATACTGAACATTTTGCTGTGCTGCAAGTAAAGTGTCTGTAAGACTTTTTAGCCCGGGATACCAAAATTAAGTACATGTGTTACTATTTTAGGATGCACGGAAGTTAAAACAGTTTTTAATGAATATATCTAAAACTAAGCACTATAAACCCTATGTTGCCTTATAGCTTGTTTGTAAATGTGGCCTTTGCAGTTAGTTTGAGCTAAAACAGAGGCCCCTACAACGTTCAGAAGCCGAGATACAAAAGTCATATATTTGCGCCTGAGGGTAATTTAAAAATTTCCCCCCTGCCTAGGGTTGGGACTACTGATAGAAATTGCGTATCTTATCAATTCTGATCCAGAATGACCTTACAAAAGACCTGGTTTCTAGAAACGTTGTAGACACCAAACTGCGTACTCCATTTCAATTACCTTCTATAAAAAAGCAGTTTAACACGAAGAAAAAGGGGTGTGCACAAAGAGCAAAAAGTTAATAAGGTCAAATCAAACAGGGTGTCAAATCGAACAGGGTGTCTTGAAGAAACAATAACAAATGTCAAATTACAGCTTATAAAAGTAAACAATAGAATTGTTATTTTAAACAGTAACTCTATGTCTATTCTAAATTTTAATTAGGAAGAAACCGTACTGACAATGAAACGGAACAGTTCCTCTAATTCAGTAACAAATCGGTAGATTCATATATCACTATCAGGAGCAAAATGAATGGGAATTGAGAAATGACCTTGTGTAGGAACCTATGATCGAATCCAATGCGAATTTTTTGCGCATAAACAACGATTGAACTTTTATTGTTAATGGGCCGCGCTCCTCATATCATATCACGCCTCATATCATAACACCCCTACCTCAAGCCATTAAACTAATTAAATGGGTCTACAGAGATTCGTAACGCGCGAAAGTGTACGAAGTTCCGCGTTAATGAGTCTCAATACTTTTTTTCCGTACTACAGAGTAGATTTTTTTCACTCTCGCCCCGGTGAAAATCAGTTTTTCTGGATTTTTTCCAAAATTAAGCATTTTGGGCCTTTGTGACCTTTACAGTGTCAATATATACATGTGCATTGTGGTCATTATAAGCCAAAGTTTGAGTCTCTAAGACCTTCAGAAGCTGAGATACAGATTTCCCATCTATGCGCCTAATGTTTAATATAAATAGGTAATTTTACCAAAACCCATAATCATGGGTAGAGTGGACCGCTGCCAGTGTCTCTCTTTCCCAAACAAAAGGAAATGATATTAATTTGATTGACCGTTCTCAAATGCAAAATGATACCGAGAATGAAATCGGTCGCTCGCTTTTCCCATTACGGCTTACGAATTG